TACAGAAGAATAGTGGTTTCTCTTTCTTTTCTACTTGCCCAATATTATTCCCAAATGCCTCTTGTTTGTAGAATTAAAACTAAATGAATGAAAGGGCTTGTGTGAATTGTAGTTTGGGTTTCTTCCCTAGCAAAGCAAAGTAGTATATTAAAGGGACAAGAAAGACGCCCAGTTGACAATGTGCAATAGAGCTCACCGGTGAACTAAGCAGCCATCACTGAACTTGGCTCTTGGCTTTCTATATTGGATTATTCTATTGTTGATGTGGCTGCGCTGGAAAATACAGTGCCCAGAATCCCCTTCTTTTTGTAATTCTGAATACAAAAGAGCATTTGCACAAGATTTGAAAGTCAGATAGGAAGCAGCAGCCATTATCTTCCAAAGATCACCATTGATTAGGGATAGTGAAAGACACAGTGGTCTCGGCTGCTTCCATTTTGTTATTGCTCTTCCCTGATGGCACCTGACAATAAATAACCAGCTCCACAGTACATAAAATTACCATTATCACAGTACTTCTCAAACGCTAAGTATATCGCATGAGCTACTGCAACAGCTTACACATGAACCCCATGCCAATTCACCACAATTAATAATTATGATGCTATGTATGATCTTTCAGTACTTATCACCACTGCACCTGCTGCTAATAATGGGATCCTTGTTCCCTTCTGGCCGTGAATAATTTAATTCCAAAATCTCATTTATGTATTTGCTCTGTATGACCACTTCTGTACCAAATCTCTTACATTGGGTTCTTCCAGAAGCAAATCTTGAAAAATGACTGTAAGTAGTTTATTTGAGAAATGCAGGAAACACAGATAGAGAGGGTGGGATGTTATATAAGAAATAAGAAGTGTTTACAAGGGTGTAAAGAGACAGGAGTTCTTCTATGCTGCTAATGAGGGAAAAAATTGGTAAGAGTATTTCAAGAGCAATTTGGCAATTGCAAGTAAATTTTTTAAGATATGAATCTTATAACCCAGCAAATGCCACTTCAGGGTATATAAGATAAAACATTCCATATCTACATATAAGGAAACATAATTGTATTCCTTGTAGAATTTTTATAATAAAAGATTACAAACACTCATTGAATAAAGGATTAACAAAATCCTTTCTCCTTCTACATGAAAAAATTAGATTAACTTTCTAATCTCCATTTCTCTGGAAATCCAATAAAGGTAGAATGTCAGCTGTATTACCAAGTAAGATTGTTATGGTAAAAATGATCCTGATTGATAAACTGCATCTGGACTGTAAATGGACTGTGAATACTTTTTAAGATGTCATAGTTTTGGAGCAGTGACTTTTATAACTGTTACAGGAGATACTGGTTTCTATTTGGGATATGGGGTTTCTAAGTCTGGATGGCCTGTTGGGTCTTATTTCCTCACACTTTAGCACTTGATGTGGGAGGAGGGGAGGGAGGCATTGCAAAAATAATAATCTGTGAACTGTATAGACACCTGAAAGGACTCCTCTTGAGAACACTTAGGATGTGAGGGAAACCAGTACCTATGTGGCCTATTAAGCTCTGTAAACTTGATTGTGTAACTGAGTCTAAGACTATCACTGCTGATGGCCTTGCACAAGCCAATGTGCATCAAAAGGCACATATAATATATTCATAAAATGGAATACTATATATCAAATAAGAGCAATGAAATATATCTACATATATAAATTTTTCTATATCTCAAAAATATTTTAGGAAAGAAATCAAGTTTCATAATTACACATACAATTGGATTGCATTCATGTAAATTTTAAATACACAAAACACAGCACCACACGTTGTTTAAAAATATCTATGTTTAGAAATATAAAAACATGGAGTAGAGAAAAAAGTTCATAATAGGTTTATTTTGAGAGAGGGATGAAGGCATTAAAACTGAGGAGGAAAACAAAAGAGATGGCAATTTTATTTGTAATGTTTTATTTATTTTTTAAAATTTGAAACTTTGTATTTATGTGTAACTGTATTTATTGATATCAAGAGATAGAAATAATATAATATTGTTTTAAAATGGCACAGTCTGCTCATATGGCAAATATAATTGTGTTAGAAATTAAATATTTCTACCTTCTCCTTAATATATATATTATATAACGTTCTTTACATTTATAAAACAATCATATAAAAAAAAATACTCTGACGTCTCAAACAGGGTTGTTGGTGTGAGAGCAGAAAATGCATTTCCAGGTGCTTGAGGTTCTTGGTGCCAGCAGTTATATTTCCTCAGTACTGAACTTCAGTTTGGAATTGAAAGAAATTGCGATTTCTCCTTCTCATATGCAGTGTATAAAGTACCCACTTGCAGTCATTCTGGAACACAGGACTGAGCTGTGTTTTTAAGTTTTATAAAGATCATCAGTCTCTCAGGGACAGTAGAGAATATAATCTGAACAAGCCTTTAAATTCTTATCAATAATTTTATATATCTTACTTCATTTCCGGAAATCTTCCAAATGTATATGCCACAAATAGCCATATCACTCTGACCTGAAAAATAATGCTGATCGCTACTGGTGTCCCCTTTGTCTTAGGTAAATCATTGGAAACAAATCCACTATTATTATCTATATCTTCAGATCCCTATTACTCTTACTCATGACAGCATCAGGAGGTAGACAATAAAAAAGCCCAACCCTCCTCCTCCTCTTTCTCTTTACCTTTCTTCAAGTCATTATTAACCTTGAAGGCTTCAAGTAAGAAGGCTAAAAAGTGTTTGTATATTTTTTTCTTCCTAGCCAGGGGAAGCCATACATCTATCGCATGCCCTTCGACCTTTTTATTCCCATTACTATACTTAATTAGAATGTCTTCAGGGGCCAAACATTGCTAAATTTTGCACGTACTTAATTATCACAATGTTAAACAGATAAGAATTCATTTCTAATATACCAACTGTAAAATCATATGAAACTGGAATAAGAGTAAAAACTAAAATAACATCATTTGGAAGAATTGGCAAAAGTTACTATTTCACCAATTTTGAAGATTTATAAAGTTGATTTGCAGAATTTAAGATATGAAAAGAATAAGAATTGGTCTTTATAAGTGGGAAAAACAAAAAAAAATGGGTCTTGCCAAGCAGACCTAGCATTTTGTTCCTCCTTAATAGCTCTTTAGGGCCAGGCACGGTGGCTCACGCCTGTAATTCCGGCACTTTGGGAGGCCGAGGTGGGTGGATCACCTGAGGTCAGGAGTTCGAGACCAGCCTGACCAACATAGAGAAACCCCTTCTTTACTAATAATACAAAAAATTAGCCAGGCGTGGTTGCACATGCCTGTAATCCCAGCTACTTGGGAGGCTGAGGCAGGAGAATTGCTTGAACCTGGGAGGCGGAGGTTGCGGTAAGCCAAGATTGCAGCACTCCAGCCTGGGCAACAACAGCAAAACTCTGTCTCAAAAAAAAAAAAAATAGTTCTGTAAAAACTACTAAAGAATTTGAGTTATTCACTCTCCTTTCTTCAGGTTTCCTGACAAGGTTACTAGACTCTATATGAGCACGCCATTGTTCTAAGCCATTCAGCATCCTAATAAATCTCCTCCTTCCTAAATGAAGCACTTAAAAAGGAGAGAAAATAATCAGCACAGAGTGCTGACTCCAGGGAAACTACTTTAAAGTTACCAAGTTGAGAGAGCAGTAAGTATGCAAGAAGAAGATATGCTTACAAAAGGAAGTTCATCTGTTGTTCTGGATATTGAAAGATAAAATGGTGAACGAAAAGCAAAACTCTGTGTCATGTCACAATTTCCATATTCAACCATTTAAAATATAGCAGCTTCACACTCACCCAGCAAGTCCCTAAGCATCTCCATACCTTGGAATAAGAACATCATGACTTCAAAAAACAATGAGATCCTGTCATTTGTAATATAAACCAAAACAAAATTCTCAGACCTCCAACCTCTGCCCTTCTCTCAGCCAAGGCATTCCGAAGCTAACCTGAAAAAATAGTTTGGGCCACGATGGGAAAGAGTGATTGGACATACCTCATTATATTCCCCTCCCTTTTGAATTTCCCTTTTGGAACTGAAGAAAAGCTTTCTGGCATTAACATCAACACATACTTTCAGTCTGATAAGAACATTTACAATCTATTCTCTCTGAAGCCTGCTACGTGGAGGCTTCATCTGTATGACAAAACTTTGGTCGCCACAACCCCTAATTATAGCCCAGACATTGCTTTCTATTGATAATAAACAATTGCCAATCAGAAAATTTTTTAATCTACCTGTGATCTGGAAACTTCCCTTCAAGCTGTACTGCCATTCCAGATCAAACCACTGTAAATCTTACATGTGTTGATGGATTTATTATGTTTCCCTAAACTGTATATAAGTAAGCTGTACTACAACCACCTTGGGCACATGTTGTCAGGACCTCCTGAGGCTGTGTCACAGATGCGTCCTTAACCTGTGTCACAGATGCGTCCTTCTAAATTGATTGAGACCTGTCTCACATACTTTTGGGTTCACAGCAATAACATGGATGGAACTGGAGGTCATTACACTAAGTGAAATAAGCCAGGCAAGAAAGACAAACATTGCATGTTCTCACTTACCTGTGGGATTTAAAAATCAAAACAATCGAACTCATGGAGATAGAGAGTAGAACATATGGATGGTTTCTAGAGGCTGGGAAGGATAGTGGGAGGGTGGGGGAGAGGAGGGATGTTTAATGGGTACAAAAAAATAGAAAGAATGAATAAGACCTAGTATTTGATAGTACAACAGGGTAACTACAATCAATAATAATTAATTGTACATTTTTAAATAACTAAAAGAGTATGATTGGGTTGTTTGTAACACAAAGGATAAATGTTTCAGGGGATGGATACCCCATTTTACGTGACATCATTGTTATACATTGAATGCCTGTATCAAAATATCTCATGTACTCCATAAACATATTCACCTACTATGTATCCATAAAAGTTAAAAATACATTTTAAAAAAAACTAACATCACGGTTTCTATTGTGTCAGAATCCAAAATCTTTCAGAGGCAGTTATTCTCCCTAGCACCTTACGAAGTTTGTGTTCAGCTCCCTTTGCGGTCCCATTCACTGTGGCATTCACGGCACAGAAGTACTCAGCCATGTCACTCCACTGCCCAGAGGGTTTCCTCAGGTTAAAGAAGGATTTACTCTTCATAAATTCAGCCTCAAAGCCTTTGATGTCTTTAACCAATGGGTCCCCTGAAAGGTACTTGAGGAGAAACGGAAGGTCTTGACCAGGGTGCTAGGCATACCAGAAGAGATTAACAGTGCCACCGTAGGAATAGTTGCATCCTAACTCCAGTGAGGCCCCTTTAGAGAGAATCACATGGTGGTTATGCTGGCTTACAGACTGGGCTCTGGCATCTCCTGAAAAAATCAATGTTATATCAATGAAAACAGTGCAGATTTGTCTATGAAAAGTATTTCTACTAAGATTTGAATCAGAAAACAGTTACTTCTGTGGAACTAGAGACCATAATAGAATGTTACTCACTCAGGGCAAAAATCATCCCCAGCACTGGTATGAGCAACAGTAGCATAGCTGAGCTGTGGAAATACTGCAGGTGTCTCTTCGGAAATTCTCCTCGGAGCCGGTAAGAAAGTGGCTGGAACCCAGGTCTTGAGAATAGCGAGTGTGAGGAAGGTTGAGCTAAGCAAGTCTCTTGTTCTGGTAAAAATACAAGAACTGCCGAGATAATCTTGAGTGCTTTTCAATCTTTGATTCTCTCCATTTGTCCCATCTTCAAAGAACTCCAGTGACAGTGCTTCAGTAAGCCAGCCGCAGGAAAAAGGGGCTGAGCAGGAAGTATTGATCATCATTGGAAACAGCCATCTGTCCCTTGTCAACATCACCCTCTGGAGGCCAGATTCAGGACCGAGAATACAGACTCCCTACAAGAAGCAAACCTGGGCTTTCCTTGTTTGGAGACCTGTCAAAAACTTCCAGTGAACGTTTCTTTCTTCCCTAATCTGTACTACGTTGCCCTCTGTACTATATTACATTAATCCTAGCCTCAATGAAAAATGAGGACTGTAAAAGAGAGAAGAAATTTACAGAGAAAAAGATCACACAATGAATCTAGCAGATTTTGGAGTCCCTTAGTATCTTTGTATAAAAGCAGTGCAGACATTCTTTAAGCAAAAATAGTTAAATCAACTCTTCTGGCTGAGCTTCAAATGACCTTGTTGCAGTGAGCATCAGGTTGAGAGGAGGATGTGGTAGGATGTGGAGATACCTACTTTGGTAAAATTAAAAATAAGATCAGATGTACAAAATAAGTCTAGTGTTACGCGCGTCTGTGAAGAGACTGCCAAACAGGTTTTGTATGAGCAATAAAGCTTTTTAATCACCTGGGTGCAGGCAGACTGAGTCCTAAAAAGGAGTCAGCAAAGGAGATAGGGGTGGGGCAGTTGTATAGGATTTGGGTAGGTAGTAGAAAATTACAATTAATGGGGGTTTTCTCTTGCAGGCAGGGGCGGGGGTCACAAGGTGCTCTGGTGGGGAGCTCCTGAGACTCATTGTCCAAGAGAAGGAATATCACAAGTTCAATCAATCAGTTAGGGTGGAGCAGGAACAAATCACAACAGTGGAATGTCATCAGTTAAGGCAGGAACTGCCTATTTCACTTATTTTGTGGTTCTTCAGTTGCTCCAGGCCATCTGGATGTATATGTGCCAGACACAGGGGTTATGATGGCTTAGCTTGGGCTCAGAGGCCTGACACCTAGAACAAGAGCCCTCATCCAGGAAAAGAAAATAGGATTATCTTTTTCTTCTTCAAGCAGAATTACAAAGATACAGAGGCTTTAGATCAACAAAAATTATAATACGATATTCAGATAAGAGAGTAAAATAACATTGCAATTTGCTGGGAACATAACCAGAGTATTACATCCAATTCTGGGTACTACATCATCAAGACATCATTGATTGACTTTAGTATCTACAGAAAAAAACTGAGAGGATTGATGAAGGCATTGCAAAATAAAACATAAATAATTTCTGAAGGAACTGAGGACAGAGTAAAAACACATTTGCATTTACCCTGGAATCCAAGAAGGAGTACCACCAGCAGAACAGAGCTAAGAAAAACATCTAAAAGGGAAAAATATATGTGAGCTGTTTGATCATGAAATCTGACACAGATAGGTCACCAGTAGTTTTACATGAATGAATCAAGTCTTATAAAACAATGTAGTGTTGATTGTGGCAACAGCAAGGCTGTTCTTCTGAAAGAAGCCTTTTCTTTCCACCCACTGTAGACCCTGGGGCTAAAAAAGAAACTATCACACCAGGAGATCGATTTTAGGGAAAATGAGAAGAGAGAAACACGCTGCCTTTCCTTGGGGCAATAGGGACTTTTTTTTAACATTAGGAAGCCTCTTATCTGGGACTGTGATTGTTTCTAGCAACAGGAAATCAAATCTGTCCTCGGGATCCTATTGCCTTGCTTCTTATAAGTGAGAGACAATAAGTAGATTGTCTCTCACTTATAAGAAGTCCATGAATAATGCTTCTAATTCCAGATATCAGATGACCATACCTGCTCACTGCCTATCTTTCTGAAATTTCCACTGATAAAAGAATAAAAATGTAAAGGACATGATGATTTAACTAGAGAAGTGAAAGTCACAGAAAAAAAAACAACTATGAGAGACTACAGTGTAAATTGTAATGAGTAACCCTTCAATCTGGCATTGGTGCACTGGTGGAGAGTGGGGAGGAGGTTTGGGGAATTCAAGAGTGAGGAGGTTGAAAGAAGCATCAAACCCTTGTTCACATATTCTAAACAAAAGGCTGCAAATTGACATATGGTTGCTATAACAAATTATCACAAACTTGATGTCTTAACAACACAAACTTGTTTTTGCAGCTCTGTGGGTTAGAAGTTGAACATGAGCCTCATTGGGTTAAAATCAAGTTATTAGCAATATACCTTTCTGAAGACTCTAGGAGTGAATCTGTTTTCCAGCTTCTACAGGCTGCACATATTTCTTGGTCCGCAACCCCTCACTCCATCTACAAAGCCAGCAATGTTTCGTCTCTTTGATCATTCAACCATAGTCATGTCTCCCTCTGACCACAGCAGGGAATGTTTCTCCAATTTTAAAAACCCATGTGATTAGATTGAGTCCACCTGGATGATCCAGGCTAATTTTCCTATCTCAAGGTCCTTAACTAAATCACATCTTCAAGGAAACCTATTGGAAAACAGACCTACATAAACAATGACACAGGAAATACCTGTAGTTGTATAGTCCTTCCTTCTTATAATACGAAGGGACAGCAGGGAGGACTAGTCCTCAGTATAAAGCAACAAATATAAATATCAAGAAAAGAATCAGAAAGCCTGATGCCAAAGGAAATGAAATTCTGAGAATAAAAGAGAACATTCAAAACTATCTAGTTAAATATATCCTAAAAGAATCAACACAAAAATTCAACAACCACAAGGAGCTCTTTAAAAACTAAAATATTGTTGCCAAAACTTTATAAAAATCAGCAGATGGTCTGAAAAACAAAATTGAGAAAAACTCTCGGGACACAGAGGAAAAAGACTCAAAAATGGACTGAAATATACTACTACATAGAAAATCAATCTTGGAGATAAAACAAGCAAATAATATTTGTCCTAGAAAAAAAGAACCAGAAGAGAGAGATTTACTAAAGAAGTGATAGAACAAATTTTCCCACAAGTGAAAGGACATTGCATATTTGGATGAAAATAGCCCACAAAGTGTGATTATCACTGAATTAAAAAGACTTACACTTAAACATATTCTAGCAAAACTAGAACACCAAAGATAAGGGGGAAAAAATTCCAGATGTGTATGGAGAGAAAAGTAAAAAAAATTGCCAATTGGGGTAACCGACTGGAATTAGATTTCTCATCAGCATCAACAAATGTTAGATTCTGATGAAAAATTATTTGCAAAACTAGAATTTTAAACTGAATTGGATACAGGAGCTGATGGACTTAATACTAGAAATATAGAATTTCACTTAATCCCCCTGTTTTGTCTATGGCACCTCACTTCATTCTCAGATATCTCTAGTATTCTGTAATCCAGAGACTGTCTAGTTCAAAATAATCAGATTCAACCTTTAATCTTCTGCCAGATTTGAGGTAGCTTGCAGCCCGCGGTACAGGGTGGCAAAGGACAGAGGAGGGTTACAGTGAGTTTCAACTGCTTCCTCTTGAGGCTAGTCTTTCCATTAATCTTCCTCTTTCTTTCCCATCTACCCTCCACACCTGATACCTTTTTGCCCATCAAAATTGATGCTTCTAATTCTTGAGCATTTCCAGACTGCTGCAGAATGCACAGGACTGCTTCCTCTCAGCTTTCCCCTCTACAGGAGCAGGTTTTCTCTCTCGGTTAAAGCAGTTTGCCACCTCTCCATTTGCTTTCAACGCCTTCAACGTTATCTTGATCTCTCTTGTGCTGTCACCATCTTTTCAGTTCGCTGTGTGCTTGTGTGTTTATACAGATTTTGAACTTCTTTATTAGCATTTCACTAGGGCCTCAGGAGGGAGCAGAGAATAAACATGAATATTTAATCAGCCATGTTCAACCAAAAACCTGGAACTTTGTAAAATTGTACACTGTTTTTCTCTCTTTCAAGTTTTGTATTTACCATGTACGTGTAATATTTTATTAAAAGAGAATTTTAAAAATTTAAACTAAGAAGGCAGAACTGGTTAAAAAAAAAGGTAGAAAATAAAATTAGAGAGGAGTTATTACTTCCACTCATTCATAAGACTCAGAGAGAGGGTCAGTGATAAAAAAAAATGTTAGAAAAAACTTAGGAAGGGAAACAGAGAAAAGGGGAAGATTGGAGGGTAAGGTAAAACCTCCAGGTAAGGACCCTTCGCTGATAATAACATTTTTAGGGACTTTCACAGTTGCCTTCACTTCAGTCCCTGAGCTATTGAGACACCATGAATGGCTCTATCATCCTCCTGTCTTAACAAGCACCATTCTCCTTGAAAATAAAATTCGATTTTATGGATCAAAATGAATATTTATTAAACGTCTGTACTATACAAGAAAAGTTACTCCAATATTTACAGACACCTCAGGTATATCTGCAATGCAATTCAGAGACTCATACTCTTTCTCCTCCATTTTCTTCCCCTACCCATGTGGCTACCTTAAACTTTTTTCCCCTTGAGGAGAAGGAAAGGCTCACAAGGAGTTGAGGAAGATACAGCATTTCCCCCATCCACCATCCCTGAGCTATACTGCCATGAAGAATTTGAGCTTGAGTGTGTTCATTCATCAGACTCCATGGCACCACCCATCTGTCTCAATTCAGGATTTGCTTTACGAAGTCAACTAACCAATATATACTGAGAAGGAGAGAAGGGGAAAAGGAATGTGTGTAGGATTTGGACATGAGCTTCTTCTTCATGTCTTCTTGAGCCACAAACAAATTATGTACTTGTTTTTACTTTTCTGAGAGTCCAGTTCATGTCTGCTATTTGATTTGTAATGAAACAAACTATGATAAATGTCACTCTCAATCCATTCTTTGTTTACATGTGGTACTCTCTTCTTCCTCCTTCTTCCCTTCTATTTTCTCCTTTTTTAACAACCAGTTGTTTTGGGGTTCTTCCTTATATGCTCTAGGAAATAACCCTCTCTCTTCCAGGGAGACATTATGCAGATGCAACCTTATCTATCTCATGTTGTCTCTAAAGGGAAAACAATGTACTATACATCACGATTTCTTTAGGTGCCCTTGGTCAAAGCCACAGGGTTGAACTTAGTAAGAAGAAGACAGAGATTACTTCACTGATGTCTGGTAAAGGATGTCAGACCC